GGGGCCCTGCTCTGGAAGGTGTCCCCCCAGAAGGTCCTCTTCCCTGAAGCCTGTGAAGACATCGCTGCCAAACTCGTCCATTGGATAGGTCTTGTGCACGCCTGGATAGGAGACCGCGAGGCCTGGGACACTGAAGGTGTGGTAGGCACCTCGGATGTTGTCCTTGACCTAGAGTATGATACTGAAGACCGTGACACCGCGGTCCTCGAGGCAGCCCTCACGACCCGCGAGAGGCTAGACTGGAGGCTCGCCGCCCCTGCCCCGCTGCCATCCGAACCCGAACCCGAGCCGACCGATGTGGGGGGCGTGGATGTGGGGGTGGTGTCTGGGAGGCCGTGGCAATTTCAAGGGCACTCGGTGGTGAAATGTCATGTGGAAGGTCCCGGTCACCCGTGCTTGCTTTTTTTTGCAAAGTCCTGCGGGGCCTCGCTGGCCCAGCGAGTGGTGCCTGGGAAGGGCATTGCAGGGGCCTGCCTGGGCCCGAGGCACATCGGGCTTCGCTCCCAGAGGTCCCGTCTCCGTAGGCACCTGGACCCCCTCGGCCTTCCTTCCTCCTCCGCGGCTTTCTGTTCTTAGAGGCCCCGAGGACGAGGACATGTTGTGGCTCCAGGGGAAGCTGGGGGGGCCTGGCGGTGGTGTTGGGCCCTCGGTTGGGGGTCGGCCCTCGCTGGGGCCCGCTGGCGGGCCGCCTGGGGGCCCTGCGGCCTGCGGCTCACAGGCCCCCATCAGCTTCCATCAGTACGGGATCGTGGTCCCCGTACTGGACCTGGGGCGAGTTGCTCGCCTGCACGGGTTCGCCTCGCCCGATTCGGCGGTTGAATGGGCAGAGCACTGCAGGCGAGCTAAGCTCGAGGCCGAGGCCGCCGGGGCCTGGCCACTAGGAGGGCGTATAGGCCCTTTCTCGCCGCTGCGGCGGCAGGCGGACTTCGTCCGCCCGACTCCTAACCTCACCTAACCTCCTCCTCCTCCTCCTCCTCCTCCCTCCTCCACCTCCTCCTCCTCCTCCTCTTCCTCCTCCTCCTCCTCCTCCTCCTCCTCCTCCTCCTCCTCCTCCTCCTCCTCCTCCTCCTCCTCCGATCTCTAAGGACAAGGAATGGAGGAGGAGGGAGAGCAGGCGGCGCCGTTTCGCGCTCAGGAGAAGTCGAAGCCCAGCGGGGGGGCGTCCAGCGCGGTCGCGGCGGACTCGCCGCCCGCGGTGGCCGTCGGCAGGGTGCCGAACATCGCCATCTCCTCCTGCCGCCTCGCGTGCTCCTCGCCCTCGTTCGCGATCTCCGCCATCTCCCGCATGGCCGCCTCCATGAACGGGCTGCGGCGCACGTCCTCCATCCGCCCTCGCTCCTGCCACGCCGCCGTCAGCGACGACACCAGCATGAAGGCGTCCTCGTCTATGGAGCACTCCCTGGCCGCGCCGCGCAGCGTGACCCACAGCTCCTGCCGGGTGGGCGGGGGCAGCAGCACGTCCCGCCCGTCGCTGGTGATCCTCCGGTTGCCCCGCTCGCCGAGCAGCACGAGCCGGGCGCTGCTGGGGGTGGCCCTGACCCAAGGTGTCCCCCCCCAGCTGCTCGCGCCCTGTTGGAGCCCCGGGGGCCCTCTGGGCTGGGCCTCGTGAGGGTTGCGCTGGAGGCCCTCGGGGTCTCCCCCTGGAGTCCGGGAGCACCTCGGGCCAGGAGCACCCCTGGCAGCACCCGAATGAGCACCATGCAGCACCCGAGCGCGTACCAGTCCCTCGCCTCCAGGCGCGTCTTCCTCACGTCGGTGCTCTCGTCCTCCTCCTCCAGCTCGGCCTCCCTCCACACCTCTGGAGGCTCAAAGCCGACATGAGCACAACCTCCCGGAGGTCCGCACGCACTTGATCGGCGTGGGACCCTTCCCTCCCTGGCGCGCGGAGCGCAAGAGGGGTCCGCCGCCGATCCAAGACATCCGCGAGGAGCTCCGACGAATGGCCCCAGCAGAGCACCCGAAGAGCAGAGGAGCACGGCCATGTGCGCCCAACGGCACGGTGCGGGCATTGGATAAGGAGCCATTGGATAAGGAAGCCAGGGTCTGGAAGTCAGTAGAACCAACCCCAGTCGTGGATAGCCCATGGATATCAGCGCCGCCCTCATCAGATGAGGAATCCTCCAGGGTCTGCAGCATCCTGGGCACATTCCTTAACCAACGCCCCCACCGTAGCAGAAAAAAACACGGCCATGTGCACCTCAGTGTATTTTTGCACCGGGATCGGCTACATACGCACGAGCGACCCCCTGGGTACGAGTGACATGTGGGGCGCGGCTTTAGGGTTAGGTCGGGCGCGTCCTTCTACAGGCGGATCTAGGACGAAAAATGAAAGATAGTCGGAAAAGAATATATATGTATATATAGATAGGGAAATGAATATCCTGACTAATCTTTGGACTCTGTTTGAGCACTTCTTCTGTAGAGGGACACGCCCGACTTACTTGAGAGGGGGCCACGGGGCGTCCACAACCGAGCGCACAAGCCATTGCCGGGAAGACCCCCGTGAGCCCGCCTGTGGGGGGGAGGAGGAGGAGGAGGGGGAGGAGGAGGAGGAGGAGGAGAGGAGGAGGAGGAGGAGGAGGAGGAGGATGACGAGGAGGAGTAGGAGGAGGAGGGGGAGGAGGAGGAGGAGGAAGAGGGGGAGGGGGAGGAGAGGAGGAGGAGGAGGGGGTAGGAGGAGGAGTGTAGGAGGAGGAGGAGGAGGAGGAGGAGGAGGAGGAGGAGGAGGAGGAGGAGGAGCAGGAGGTCACTCTTTCGTGTGCCCGAAGGGGTCGTGGCCGTCCGGACCAAAAAGCGTTGCCGGAGAGGAGGCGCCCGAAGCAGTCGCGAGGCAGTCTCAGGTGAGTCGGCTGCCACACCGCACCCCCTGTGGGACTCTTCTGTGGCCGCCTGTTCTGCCACCACTAGAACCCTCTACAGTCGGCCTCGATTGTACAGGACACGCGACAGGACACAAGACCCTTCCGAGGGCCACATCGCCAGAGGAGTGTACGAGGGCACGCGTCGCGAGGCACAGGACACAAGGGTACCCTTGAGCTGGCAGGGTCGACCTACCAATCCGGGCCGACCGTAGCGAAACAAAATTGGGGACTTGTGGTCAGAGTGAGAGGGCCGAACGGCCTTACACCGTCCCTGGGTGCGTGGCTGAGATGGACTTCCGCGGCGCGGCTTCGGATTGTTGTTGAGCTTTCACTTCTGATATCTAATCTCTATTGATCCCCCCTCTGGTGCACATTGTATTCGTCCTAATGAAATGCCCTTCCCGGAGCTCGCGCCCAGTACTTATCAGGGATGACCTTGATGACCAAACTGGCCCCCTGGCCCCCGAACTCGAACAACAACAACAACAACAACAACAACAACAACAACAACAACAACAACAAAACAACAACAACAACAACAACAACAACAACAACAACAACAACAACAACAACAACAACAACAACAAATGCAACAACAACAACAACAACAACAATCAGTATGAGACTGTTCGCTCTTACTTACCCGTGTGTCAAAACGAGCTCCCCACACCCTCGATACCCGCCCTTTTTGTCTTCGATCACACCCCGTTAGGGGGATTCTTTCTTTTGGCGGGGGGCGGCGGGCTTAGACAGGCGGGCAAACCTGAACGGGCGGTCAATCCTTCGTGGGCATACATGTGCCCACCATTGGAATAGGTGTAGGCCCTGCAAAAGAGGAAGGGGAGAACGAGGGAGAGTGGGAGGAAAGGAGGGGGAGGGACGAAGGAAGAGGGAAAACGCCAGGAGAGAAGGAGCGAAGAGGAGGGCGGTTGATTAGAGGGAGAGAGAGAGAGAAGGGGGAAAAAAAGAAAGGTAGAGAAAGAGAGAGAGAGAGAGAGGGGTGAGAGAGAGAAAAAAAGAAAGAGGGAGAGAGGAGGCAGGAGAGGGGAGGGAGAAGGGAGGAAGGAGAGGAGGGAGAGGGGATAGGGCAGAGAGGCATAAGGAAGAGGGAAGAGAGGAAAAAGAGAGAAGGGAGGAGAGGAGGGAGGAGGGAGGAGGGAGAGGGGGGAGGAGCAGGAAGGTAAGAGCGTGAACTTTCGAGGGAAGTCCTACGTGAAAGCGCCGTTCCTGAAGGAAGTCTCGGGCGGGAGCGCACGACGGGCGGGCGATCCCCTGACGGGCGGGTCGGGCGGGTGGGACATTCAAGCGGGATGCCTGAGTATGGCGGGGGCGCGATTACTAAGTAAATTGTAACGGCGTCCGTGGCGCAGCGTGTTTCCTGAGCGTCGAAAGCGCGATTTCTGCATAAATCGCACGGAAGTCACAGGCGAGAGCGCAGCCGCTGAGTAAAATGAGAAGGGTTTTCTGGCGGGAGCGGGGGTCTTGATTAAATTGCGAGCGAGCGCGAGGAAGTCTCAAGCGGGAGCGCCGTTCCTGAATAAATGGTGAGGAAGTCTCAGATGGGAGCGGGGGTCCTGATTAAATTGCAAGGAGGTCACAGGCGGGAGCACCGATCCTGAGTAAGTTGTGGGGAAGTCTCAAGAACGGGGGTCCTGAATAAATTTGGAAGTATCCGGCGGGTGCCGTTGAACTCTCACTTTTGAAGAATAATTATTGTTGATCCCCCCCCCCCACCGGTGCACATTCATTTTTTTCGATTGAAGTGCCACCCCCGGGGCTCGCACCTTGTTTTTTTCTCAAGGAAAGTCTTCCTGCTCAAACTGTGCCCCTGCCCCCCGGGCTACAACAACAACGGCTCCCGCCTGAGACTTCCTCGATTTTTACTCAGGGCCCCCGCTCCCGCCTGCGACTTCCGCGCAATTTACTCAGGAAAGGCGCTCCCGTCTGAGACTTCCTCGCGATGTAATCAAGACCCCCGCTCCCGCCTGAGACTTCCGTGCAATTTACGTGGGAACGGCGCTCCCGCCTGAGACTTCTTCTAATTTTACTCAGGACCCCCGCTCCTGCCTTACATTTCCGCGCAATTGACTCAGGAACGGCGCTCCCGCCTGAGACTTCCTCGCAATTTAGTGAGGACCCCCGCTCCCGCCTGAGACTTCCGTGCAATTTGCTCAGGAACGGCGCTCCCGCTTGAGACTTCCTCGCAACTTAGTCAGGGCCCCCGCTTCCGCCCGAGATTTCCTCACAGTGTACTCAGGACTGCGCTCTCGCGTGCGACGTCCTCACAAATTATTCTGGAATTGCGTTTCGGCGCTCAGGAACCACGCACGCGCCAAGGACGCCTTCACAACGTGGTATCTTCCCTCTTCCTTCGTCCTTCCCCCTCCCCTTCCTCCCACTCTCCCTCGTTCTTCCCCTCCTCCTCTTGCAGGGCCCGCGCCAATTCCAATGGCGGGCAGAGAGATGTACGCCCCCGTAAGATTGTCCGCCCGTTCCGGTTTGCCCGTACGTCTAAGCCCGCCGGCCCCAGCAAAGAGAAATAATCCCCCCGAAAGGGGTGTGATCGAAGACGAAGAGGGCGGGCATCGAGGGTGTAGGGTATACGTGTTGAATGACTCGCGGGCAAGTAAGAGCGTGAAGCCTTAAAATGGTTGTTGTTGTTGTTGTTATTGTTGTTATTGTTGTTGTTGTTGTTGTTGTTGTTGTTGTTGTTATTGTTGTTGTTGTTGTTGTTGTTGTTGTAATCCGGGGGGCCTGGGACACAGCTTGAGAACCACAACTTTTCCTGCCAAAAAAACAGGGTGCGAGCGTCGAGGGGCACACTTTGATTGAGAAAAAAAGCATGCACCTGTGAGGGTGGATCAGCATAATTATTCTTCAGAAATGAAAATTCCACCACAACATCAACGGCTCCCGCATGATAGGTTTCGCCTGAGACGTCGCTGAAATGTATTCAGACATCGTGATCTCGCTTAAGACATCCTCACAACGTGTTCGGACGTTGCGCCTCGACACTCAGGAATCGCGCTCTCACTTACTTGGAAGTCGCGCTCTCGTTATAAATTGCCTGGCGATTCAAACCGGATTCATACTTCAGCGACCCGCCCGCTCGACCCGCCTGTCGGAGCCCGCCCACATGACCCGCCCGTTAGGGACTGCAGTCGACGTTTGCTGCCCTTCGCCTGCCTTCGATGCCCCTCGCTGCCCGTAGTGGTTCCGCTGTCGCCTTCGCTCGCGCCTTTCGTGGCACCGTTGCTGCCCTTCGCGGCCCCCTCGCTGCCCTGTGTGGCCCTGCATTATATGCCCTTCGTGGACCCCGCTCGATCGCGCCCGTCGTGGCCCCATATGCATGGCCCCGCTGTCGCCCCTCGCGGCCCCTTCGCTGCCCTTCGTGGATTCCCTTACGGCCCTTCGTGGCCCTGCTGTCGTCGTTTGTGGCCCCATATACGTATGCCTTTCGTGGTCCCCGCTCTCTCGCGCCCGTCGTGGCCCCATATGCATGCCCTTCGCGGCCCCGCTGTCGCCCTTCCTGGCTACCTCGCTGCTCTTCGTGGCCCAATTATAACCTTTCGTGGCCCCGCTGTCGCCCCGTGGCCCCATATACGTATGTCCTTCGTGGTCCCCGCTCTCCTTCGCCCGTCGTGGCCCCATGTGAATGCCCTTCATGGCCACGCTGTCACCCTCTGTGTCCCCCTCGCTGCCCTTCGTGGCCCCCTCGCTGCCCTGCGTGGCCCCTTTGCTGCCCCGTCCGTACCATTTGTGGCCCCGCATACGTATGCCCTTCGTGGCCCCCGCTCGTTCGATCCTTTCGTGGCACCCTTGCACCCCTTCGTGGCCCCGTTGTCGCCTTTCCATTGTGGCACCCTCGTTTTGCCCTTCGCGGCCACGTTGCCACCCTCAGTGGCCCCGTCGCTGCCCTTTGTGGCCCCTTACAC